CAAAAACAAAAGCTCAAGAAAGGCACCGAACGTTTGGAGCTGATTCAGCTTTTCAGTCATGTGGAGTAGATGCCTTACTCGAAGTCATTCTATTTTTTCAATGGAAATTCCCTTGGAGTAAGGAACTGTTCAACACAAGTATGACATAAGACTGGCCTTGATGATAAAACATTTTTACATATCAGAAAACCATTAATAATGGTTTGGGATCTCACTTCCTCAGTGTGTTGCAATTCGGTGATGCAACTGCAAATGCAATATATGCTGTAAGACAGAAGACTTGCTTAGCTTAAATCAGCTCCATGCAACTCTCAGATTTCTGAAAATCTGCCAAGCTTAATGTGCATTCAGGTATTCTGAAGCTCAGACAGCTCTAATTAAAACCTATATTTTCAGTCTGCAATACTTAGGATTCTGTGTTCACCCAAACAATGTTGAGTCAAACCACAGAGAAATCTGTTATCACTCAACTCCGCTGCATACTTTTCATACAGCTAAAATATTACACAAAATTATGAACTGCTAAATATAAAAGCATAAATTGAATGCAGACATCAAATCCGTACGCTACCTTTTTCTAACCTTCCAGCAATCGTGAGGCATGGGCCACAGCTGCACACATATGGCATTTGCTTAGGGAGATCAAAGCATTTTATACTTGAGGAAGTATTTGTGTTAGCCAAATGTAGAAAACAAGCATCTTGCCAGTCACCTTTCACTCTTTGACCCCTACATGTAACTTGTGAGAGTGCCTGTGATAGGCCTGAACCATGTCAAAAAGAGTACTATGTAAATTCATATCAAAATCAATGATAGTTTTTTCTAGCAATTCTTTCTCCTACAATTTCCATTACTGTAATCAGATGTCTATGTACAAGTAGCTAAAAAAGAATTCTTCAAGTATGAACACTCCTGAAAGGATATGCCAGAGTTAAAATGACATGAGAAAGCTGTATGTTCTTACGCTTTATTTGCATGCAAAAGCTGGGCCAGGGTCAGCAACCAGAGAACTCAGTGGAAGTTTCACCACTGACTTCAACTGGAAGCAAGACCAAGGAGCACGTCTCTGTGTAATGATAAACCCGCTCTACAAAGCGCAAAGGCCAGAACACAAGTTGCATCAGATGTTTAACTTCTTTTTTTTCTTAAGATATTGCTGGATGAAGATCTTTCTTCCTTGCTATTTTCCACCAGCTGATTTCTCATCAGCTTAAACTATAAAATCTTTCTTTGGGTGCCTCACAACTTTCTTGTATAACTTACAGAGGAAGACTGGTATAGAGCCTTCATATCCTTGACTCAAACCCAAAAATATGTATGCACATACTGTTCATACGGTGGTTTTGATAAGCCGTAGGTTTCAAATTTGGGGGCAAGGAAACTATGCCTTTTGTGATTATTCACTGCATCTTCACAGATCTAATGCGAGGCTTTTTCAGCATAGTGACTGTGGAACTCAAATTTTCATAGTAATTTCACTCTAAGACTTGTTATCAATGCATAAAAACAGAATTTCATCACAAAAATAATGTTTTGGAGATACATTATCTAGTAGAAATACAGCAAAAAGCAAAAATAGAGGTTTGCCTTTATTATGACCACATGTTAGGTAGGACTCAATTCAAGGTCATTTATTTCTTGTTTTAGCCACCGCTTCTTTCTAGGCTCAGAAGGCTTAGGAAAATAGATATTTTTCTGTCACTTTCCATGAAGAGCTCAATATAAAGCAATGACAAAGGCTCTAGGGGAGGGTCTGTGCTCTTTGTTGCAGGTGCATTTTGGAAAATCAGGGTTAGGTATCAAAGAACAGCATACTACATGACACTGGTTCAAAGTGCCCAAAGAGATGCCTAAAGAATTAGTGATACTAATGCAACCAATGCAAACAGCAATTTTTAGAAAGGTTTTTATAAAGGTATCAAATACTGATTTTTCTCCTTCTAAGTTCAGGGGATCAAGGATCAGTTACTCTCCAATTTGTTGTTCTTCTAAACCACTTGCCAGTGGTAACATCTGTAAGAATTGCCATGTCATACAAAATCCTGTACTACACTGTGTCTCAGGATTTTCACAGTATGACTTCAAAGAAATATTCTTGGAAACACAGTCCAATACAGTAGCTGCCTCTGAGGACTGAGGATATACAGCAATATTTGTCAGTTAACCTACTCCTTTTGTGCTAACAAAAAGACAGCTGAAGATTATTGAAAATGCAAAGTATTTCAATATAAGTAGGTAATTCCATATTCAGGAATCTAACTTTGAAGATTTTTATATAAATCCTGCCTTAAATGAAATAAAATTTTATTATTTTTGTATAAACCAAGAAAGTTATAATTCTTTCACTTCCTGACTGCCACTCCTTGACCCTTTCACGGGTTCAGTTCAATTTACTGGCAATTTGGGTCATCCAATTCAGGTATGGAAATGTATCCATAGAAAGTATACACAGATTATACCCACATATTAGATATATTTGACAAGTCCAAGAAGTCTTTTCTTATTCCAACGCACCAGTGCAATATAACATGTCCTTTTTCTTGAAGCAATGCCCTTGAACTTCATGTATCCCTTCCCTTTACTGTTCAGGTATTGTTTTCTGACACATGTAAATGTTAGCAGATGTGAGAAGCAGTAAAAAAGTATGTGGTATAAATGCTTCTTTCTGGCACATAAGAGGCACTTTCCATAGACAGAGAAAGCATCTGCAGCACTGTGTAGCCTTCATTTTCTGTTGGCAGGTATCTATATTCTAAGGCAAGAGGCCAAAATTTTTTTGCACAGTTAGCACGTCATACTAGCAAATAAGCACAAATACAAGCTGTTTGGAGAATGTACAGAGCACATGTAGCATTTCTGGGTTCCAAAAGCAAGAGCAATGCACAGCCAAATCATTTAAATACTCAGAACGATTAAGATTTTGCTATTACTATCCCAGCTTTAAAATAACACATAATTGTGATACTGTATTAAGATTGCACAATCATAGAATAATTCAGAATGGAAGGGATCTCAGGAGGTCTCTAGTCCAATGTCATGCTCAAAGCAGAGTCAGCTATGAGGTTAGACCAGGTTGCTCAGAATTTTATCCAGCCTGACCTTGAAAACCTCCAAGGATGGAGACGGCACAACCTCTTTGGGCAACCTATTGCTGCATTTGACTGTCCTCATAGAGAAAAAGGTTTTCCCTGCATTCAGTTACCCTTGTTTCAGTTTATGCCTGTTGTCTCTCGCCCCCTTGCCTTGCCTGTGTAAAGCCTAGCTCCATCTTTTTGATGACTGACCTCCTTGTAGGTACGGTACTGGAAGGCTGCTATTGAGTCTGCTTGAAGATCTCTATACTCCAGGCTGAAAAAGCAGTTTCCTTAGTTTCTCCTCACAGGGCAAGTGCTCCAGCTCTTGACTATCCTGGTGGTCCTCACTGAACCCATTATGGTTTATCCATGTCTTTCCCATACCGGAGGCCAAAGCTGGGTGCAGTGTTCTAGGTATGGTCTAATGAGTACTAAGGGGAACAATCACTTCTCTCAATCTATTGGCTGTGCTTTTGCTCATACGGCCCAGTATTGCGTCGCCTTTGCTGTCAGGACACACTGCTGGCTAATCCCCTGCTTGCTGTCTACAAAAATCTCCATACCCTTTTCAGTAAAACTGCTCCTCAGCCAGTCAGTCAGTCCTAGCCTCTATCACTGCAAGGGCAAGTGCAAGTCCTCCTCACGTGTAGGACTTTGCATTTGTCCTTGCTGAACCTCATAATGTTCCTGTCGTCCCTCTCCAGCCCTGCCTAGGTATCCCTGAATGGCAGCCCTTGCCTTGACTATATCAAAACAGTCCCCCTGCCCCAACTGGCGATTTGCATTACTGCAAAATGTACGAGTATGTAGTCCATTGCCTTCCTGAGGTCACTGACAAACACGTTAAATGAGACACATCCCAACAGGGAGAGCCCTTCAGCACTCCCCTTGTCACCAGCCTTCAGGCAGAGTACAACCCATTAACTACTACCTTCTGAGCTGGATCATCCAACCAGTTTTCATCCATTGGGTTGTTCACACATCTGGATTATAACACATTGTACCTTGGACAGACGTATGCTGCTGGAAACGGTGTTGAAAACCTGGCTAAAGCCAAGGTAAATGACATCTCCTGCTCTCCTCTCAGCTACAAACTAAGACACAGAGAGGGTAATCAGGTTTACCTTTGGTAAATCTAAGTTCACTGTTCTCAATCGTCTTCTCCTTCCCATGCCAAGAAATGTGTTTCAAGAGGATTTCCTCCATAATTTCCCCAGAGACCAATGTGAGGCTGACCAGTCTGTAGTGCCTCAGACTGGGAGAAGGAATTTTTGCTCTAAGACACGCTTTGCAAACTCTTATTGTTGGGTCTTACACTCTCTGGCATACAA